ACATCTAAAAGACAACTCAGCTTGCAATCCCCAGACGCATACTGCTTATCGATCTGTTTTAGGCCAACTTAATTGGTTGCAGAGTCGAACGCAAGTTCATGTGTGTTACAAGTTCTCCAGATGCGCGTCCGCCGCTTCGAGTCCAACCATTGGTGACGTCCGTGAGATCAACAAGGTCGTCCGCACCATGAAGAGCCAATACGTCGATGCACGTTTTGGCCTCTGAAAGGTCATCAACGCACCCTTGGTTTTCCAGATGCATCGTATCCTAATAATAGTGACAAGTCCAGTCAGCGTGCACATGTCATCTGTTTGGCCGAAGAGAGACAACCATACAACGCATACAACGCTCGACATTCCGAGAAGAAAGATAGTTCTGCAACACGTGGATCCATCATAGACTACGAAAGGCATAAGATCACCACGACTACTCAGTCAACCACGGTTGCCGAACTTCAAGCCTTGATGAAGTGTTTTGGCACTTGTCTCTTCCTTCGTGCTCTCACGGGCAGCATCAAGAGGAACGTCCCGTGACCCTGCCAGCCGACATTCCGGTAAAGGCAAGGCAAAGGCAAGGGCCGCAAAGGCAAGGAACGCCGAGATCCCGGACCACGACCAAAGGGCATGGATTCTGCCTATGATCGGCCAGACTACGGTGTCAGCACTTGCTTCGTGTTTTGCTTCTAGCTCATCTGGTCGGGATTCTTCAAGATCGGCGAGGCCGCCATCAGGCGGAGTGCGAAATGCAAAAGGAACTCGGCTTTATCCTCCGACATTCCGGATGGACCCATGCCGACAAGTCACTGTCCGTCTTTGAGCTGATTGCGGGTGCCCGGCAGGAAGAGGAACCGGTCTTCCCCGCAATCAAAGGCGTCTCAAATTTTGTAATTGGCGCGAACACTCTCAGGAGACCATTAATATGCTCTTTACAATTATGTATAACCAAAAGGGCCGGTATCAGATTGGAGTTCTGAGCGTATCTGATCACCGAAACGGCGAGAAGCTCATCGACCGGCCCAGCGTTACGGCTGAGGAGCGCAAAGCATTAGCCTCTCAATATAAGCAGCTTAAGGCCGCACATGTTTTTGTTCAAGCTGTATCCAATCATTCAGGCGACGCCGACATTCCGGCATCAGCTTTGAAGATCGCACAGTGCCACCTTTCCGACATTCCGGACAGCTTGGTGCACATGACTGAATTTCGCCACCTCCGTTCGATCATTCAGCACGGCTTGTTGCCAGGAGGTGGAAACATTGTGGGCACGAAACAGAGGAATATGAACCATTTTCTTTCAATTGGCTCCTTGCTCCTCGCCCACGAGCACATCCGTCCGACAGCAAACGTAGCCCTGGTTTTGTCGAAAGCTACATTAGAGACGCACCGTGAGATTCAGTTCTGTCTCTCTAAAAACGGCTACTTCTTGACCAAGAACGTCATTACGTTCGGCCTTTTAGGTTTAGCGTGGAACGTCGGGGATAAGAAAGCAGGCCGTTTCTTGGAGCCAAGCCGTGCACCGTCCGCAAGCAAACGCAAGGTGCTTGCTCCGACATTCCGGAGACAAAGTACCATGATCCATCCTCGAAGAAGCGAGCAACTTCACGCGCACGAGAGGTCATGCAGGACGCAGCCGACGCGCAGAAAGCCGAGTTTCAATTCAATCGCACCAGAATTCATGACCTGCCTCGCTTGTAGCCAAGGGGATGTTTTGTTCTTTTGCCGAGCATGCGGACACGGCACATGCCTCGATTGTTAACACGATAAGAGCAACCAATGCACTTGCATCTCGACGTGTTTAAGCACCGCTCGGAAAACGCGAGAGAGAGGAGATCACGGCAGAGATTGGCTTCACCACGCCGTTCGCTCCAGAGTCCGGGGGCTGGCATCCCTTAGACCGACTCGCTGGCCGTCGTCGCCGTCTTCGTGCAATGAGGGACTTAGTGGAAGGCGGCGGATCCACAGGCTATGCCGCGATGGATCGCATTATTTTAGAGGAATCTGGCAAATACCACTATAGCAATCATCCCACATATCACGCCAGCGACATTCCGCCACTGGTCGAGCACTGGAACAACCAGTCAGATATTGCTCCTTACCCTATCGTCCGACCGAGCTGCTTCCCGCCGATATTCCGGCGAGGAATTGAGGCACATCGTTGATTTGAGCCGGAGCTACATGGCAGGCTTCAGAGTAAACCACGGTGATTCCAACCTTGATGATGCAAAACTCCTCCGTTCCACTGAACACGTCTCAGTTTTGCTGCTCAACATGGGCGACATTAACCGTCCGCCTCACTTCAATGGGAAGCAGCGGTTGCCCAGCAACTCCAAGATACCGACCAGCACTGCGTTCTTCCGCGCTACTTGGTCAGGAATACCGACCACGTAACGGTGCTTTTGGAAGCGGGCGGCTTGGATCGACACAGCGATTTGTTCCGACAATATAACCAGATGTGTATCGTAGCACTGCCAGATGGCGAATCACATCCAATCGCCTGCGTCAGCTCCTCAGACGGCATTACGTCTCGGCTGGAGCTAATTCGCCGCATTGAACTCGAAGCTGACCGCCTTAACTGGCTGGCACACGCGGCTACCTTTCGAGTGATCTGGGGCACGGTCGGAGACGACACCCACGGTGGAATAACAACCGATAAGGGAGTCCGCATGAATCTTCGCCTAGCCATTGAAGAACACGGCGAGGACCCTGCCGAAGACATGGGAGTAGTTTTTTGCCCTGATGCATTAGGTGTAGTACAGGCAACAACCACCTTTCTCCAGGTTGAACCCATTGATGCTGAGGTTCTGTTCCACGAGAGTGCGACATTCCGGACTGGACGCCTTGCATTTAATTTCACCTGAACTCCTACGCATTAAATGATTGCATAACAGCAGGAAAGTCAGCTCTTACCAAGATTTTGGTAACTGCTGCGGCGGACCACGTGGACGTCATTGTGTGTGACGCAAATTTGTTCACCAAACGTAATTTCAGGCAGGATCGACATTCCGATCTGGCTACCGGCGCAGTCCTCACTATCTTAGACCAAATTCTTGTTTCTGCTAACAAGTTGTGCGAGTCCAGTAAACTTAAACGCATCACCTATAACTGGGAAGTCTCGACGCTTGCTACCGAGCAACTCCCCGCACTAGAAGGACGCGATGCCGACGTCGACTGTTTGACGCAGATCGCACTGAATTACGCTAAGGACATGCACACACTGCTGAGAAGGTCATCCGACATTCCGGAAGACCGAGGCCATGTAGGATATGAAGGACCTCCACGCCAAAAGGAGACGACCATTGAGCCCAACGAGTTTCTCAAGCACTTAAATCATTTTGATTTCTGCCTCGAATCAAACGATGAGGCTTTCCATCACCCATTCCAATGCAATTTCTCGTTGGCAGCTAGGTCCAATAACCGTGCGCGCGGAGAAGCCTCTGCTGAGCATCGTCGCCAAAAGGACAATGAGCGCATTCACTGGAGAAGACAAGAGCGACAGGATTGGTGGCAATCCAGGCTCGTCCCCGTCCTGGTGGCAATCCGGACAGTCCGGCCGGGACTCCGGATACAGAGGCTACCGCAGATGGTAAAAAACGTCCACGCATAGCCGATATTCCGGTATTTGCATTTGAAAATTTGCAACTCAATCGACCCAAGTATTTTCAGCGCAATAGACTTGATTAAATCATTTTCAGGAAACAGCAACAAGCCTTTGTAAGGTTTGACTTAACTGTAAAGATTTGAACAGCCTTGAATGAACTTCCGACATTACGGAAAGTTTGACGGCAAGAATATGCCTTTCGTAGATTTTGTAGATAGTCTGACGTTAAAGATCAAAGGGCCAGAATGGCATCTACGGTCAAGTTCTGCGAAGCCGGAACTTTTGTAATTCACTTGCATTCTTGTGCTCTTGCAACCTGTTGTACTGTTTGCAGCCGTAAGCTTCGACACGAAGAAAAGTTGTGTCTGTTTGTGTTTGTAGGGTCCTAGGCTCCCCTAGGCGTGTCTACGCTATACGTGTGTGGCACCTGTTGTTGGTAGATAGATTTTTTGTATATACCTCTTCAGTCAGCTGCCGCTCTAATTCATTTGGCTCAAGACTTTGTAGCCCAATACTGCACTGCAGCCATAGAGCAAAGGTGTGCATCGCTGCCGCTCGCACACTCGCTTGTGATTGGGTCTTACTTGGTGTATTCGATCAGGTCCAGTATACTCTACTGCCACTTGGGGGAACTTACCCCTCACCCCCCCACCCCCCACTCCTCCTGCCGTCTGCCACGAATTCTTACTTGAATGAATGTAAAAGCCCTTTGCATCCACATGGAACGTCATTATGGCCATGATTCCCCCCCCGCCCCACACTCCTCCTACCTCCACTCTGTTCAGCCATATGCTGTTGGCAAACAAATCTTACTTGAATGAATGTAAAAGCCCTTTGCATCCACATGGAACATTATTGTCTTGGCCCCCCCCCCCCCCCCCCCCCCCCCACCCCACACTCCTCCTCCTGCCGTCCACCACTACTTCTTACTTGACTGAATGTAAAGGCCCTTTGCATCCACATGGAACGCTATTATCTTGGCTTAGTTTCTGCACAGTCTAACTTGGTTTCTGAATCGGCTGTTTTGGTTTCTGAATCGGCTCTTTTGGTTGCTGAATCGGCTCTTTTGGTTTCTGAATCGTAGTTGCTGAATCGCTTGGTTTGGTTTCTGAATCGGCCGACTTGGCTTCTGAATCGGCTGTTTTGGTTTCCGAATCGGGACTCGCTTGGTTTCTGAATCGGCCCGCTCATTTGGTTCCTGAATCGGACCATTTGGTTTCTGAATCGGACTGTTTTGGTTTCTGAATCGTAGTTTCTGAATCGGCTGTTTTGATTTCTGAATCGTAGTTGCCTGATCGGTTGGTTTCTGAATCGGTTGGTTCCTTTTACAAACAAGAACACCCACCCAGTCCGAGCGTCCTGCGCCGACCGTCCCCCAACGGCTCAACCCGTCGGTTCGTTCGGCCAGTCCGTCACCGAGGAAGGCGGTGGGGTCCATGTGCTCGGGCGAACACGAGACCTGGGCGCGCGGAGACAGAACTGGGCGTTGGACGGAGCGGTGGAGTGACGGAGTGATGGAAGTTGGCCCCAAGAAAGCGAAGCTTCGGAAATGTCAAGCAAAAGCTGGCTTTCAAAGGGCCAGAAGTTCCCACTGAACTAAAACGTGTTGCAAACTGCTTCTGACTCGTAAACGCGGCGCTCGTTGTCCTGCCAAGTGTTGCAGACAAAAACTCAAAAAGGCAAAAAGGCCTCAGTTTCCTGCTGCACTTCCCACTTTCGTTGCTCTGCTTTGTCTTCCAGTGTCTCTTCTTTCCACCGATCAGAGCTCTCACGCCAGTTCCAACCACTCCACCAATCACTTCTCCATTGCTTCCAATCATTCCAATCATCTGGTTCCTGCCATCACCAATCACAGCACTGTTTTGCTCACATTTGCTCACGAAAATTAAAGAAGTTGCCCTCCTGATCATTTAGGTCTTTAGGTCTTCAACTCTTTCTTTTCAAATCCTTCCTTTCGTTTCACGTCCTGCTTTTCATTTCCTAAGCGCCCTTGCGTTCCAAACACATCGGTTCGTTTCATGTCAGGTCATTCCTATTTGTTTCAATAACTTCCTTTCGCTTCTAATCCAGCCTTTTTGGACCTTGATTGAGAAAACCCCTGCGTGAAACGGCTTTGCAATCAACATGGGGAGGATATATATATATATATATGTGTGTGTGTGTGTGTGGATTTTAAATTAAGATCAGGTGATTTAGGCCAAGTGCGTTCAAGTGACATGCAACTTCCCCAGGAAAGGTCTAAGTCACGTAGAGGTGTAAAACCTACAGACCATTCCGACCCGGTCATCATCGTCTTTTGCTTTTTGGGGGCGTTGTCCACCACTCCAAAGCGGAATTCCATCCTTGTGTGCTGCGTTCGGGGGGGGCCCGGGCAGAGGAAACATATCAGAGACATTGTGAGACTATGATTTTGGTGGCAGTGCTTAGTGTCCCACATTGGAGCGCTTTAGATTTTGCAGTTTGTCCGGATTTGAGGCGTTTCAATGCCGGTGTCCGAAATCCAGAAATCTTCACTGTTGTCACACACCTCAACCGTTCATGACATGCCTGACGTGCACCTATTGCAAAGGATAAAGACGTAGTTCTGTTCCTATGACCAGTTTTCTTTCATTAGCTCTAATCTTCCAGGAAGAGGACCTGGCGCACCAGACTGCACCCAAGGCCCAAGGCTCCAGACAGCTGTGCACTCTCAGCCCACGCACCCAAGGTTCCAAACAGCTGGACAAACTGCGCAACAAGCCCAGGCAGCGCCCAAATTCCAGACAGCGGCGCGTTGAACCGCTAAGCCCACAGAGTTCCAAACAGCACCCAAAGTTCCTGGACACCGTTTTGGAGCCCTGGACCAACTGCGCACCACTCCCAGCCAGAGATTGAAACCCAACTGCATTCTGCTGTTGGGGAATGTGCAGAGATTGAGACCCGGCTGCGTTCTGCCGTTGGGAAAAGATGTTTGAGAACGTCTGACATTCAAGACTCAACATCATGAATCATGAAAGACTCATCAAGAAACCGTCTCTCACTTCCCTGTTTCAATTCTGCGTTTAAAGCGCTCTGCTGTCGCAGCTCCTGACGTTCTTTCTCCTTCTGCTCTCTCTCCGCACGCCACTTGGCTTCTTGCAACTCCTGTTCGCGTTGCTTCTGCGCCTCCTTGCGCTGCAGTTTCCGGCGGTTGGCCTGGACGACCCGGCACACGTCGCGAGAAAGCGAAGCTTCGGAAATGTCAAGCAAAAGCTGGCTTTCAAAGGGCCAGAAGTTCCCACTGAACTAAAACGTGTTGCAAACTGCTTCTGTTGGTGGAACAAGAATCCTGCACCTCTGCCCCCCGAAACAAAACAAAGACTCGTAAACGCGGCGCTCGTTGTCCTGCCAAGTGTTGCAGACAAAAACTCAAAAAGGCAAAAAGGCCTCAGTTTCCTGCTGCACTTCCCACTTTCGTTGCTCTGCTTTGTCTTCCAGTGTCTCTTCTTTCCACCGATCAGAGCTCTCACGCCAGTTCCAACCACTCCACCAATCACTTCTCCATTGCTTCCAATCATTCCAATCATCTGGTTCCTGCCATCACCAATCACTGCACTGTTTTGCTCACATTTGCTCACGGCAAAAAAGAAGTTGCCCTCCTGACCATTTAGGTCTTCAACCAAATCTGACCCCTTGAAAAGTCTTGATTCATCTGGGCTGTGAATCAGCAATGTTCCGCGTCGCGGGGTCAAAAGCATGGTTAAGGCCCTACAAAGCCACGCCCCCTGAACAAAATGTCAAAAAACCTGCAGCACTGGCCGGGATCCAACTTTTCTTTAATCAGCATCTCTAAACTGGCCCTTCACTGCATCTGAAACTTCTGGTTCAATTGACGGGTTTGTTTCATCTTCACGTCAGTCCGATGGGCGTCGTACGTCTATCGACTGTCCTCGTCCTCTTCTTCCTCTTCCTTCCCCTCCTTCTGCGCTCCTTGTTGCTCCAAGGCACGCTGGCGACATACCTCATCACGGTACGCTGCCACTGGCAATTGAAGTGCATCTTGTTCAAGGTTCATTACAAGTCCATCCGTTCGTTTCATGTTACGCCTTGTTCGTGTTTCAATGCAATCCGTTGTTTAAGTCCAGAAATCAACAACGACCCGCGGAAAGCACTACCACGTGGTTTTATGCTGGAATAAAACATGTCCCCACATCTAACCATACTTTCACCTGGAAATTCCTGGCAGCCAGCTGGCTTGCTGCCACGGATCTGTCTGATCGTCATGATTCCAGTCACCTCGTGACCAATCCTGCATATCTGGTGTTTTGAGCGGAATGGGACGAAAAGAAACTAACTGATCAAAATTCTCGCTGCGCGCCTTTCCACTTGGCGCTGGAGCTGCTCGGTGCTCGGCAGTCCAAGAAGATGCTGGTCCATGAGCAATCCAGTTGGATGTTGACTGCTTGGGCCCGCCAAACGCCTCAATACCATTCAGGTCGTAGTTTCAAGTTGGAGGTGGACAAGTAGAATTGAAAGGTTCTGTTTGCTCGTTTCGCGCGCACCTTGGCTCCGCTCACCTTCTCTTGTTGGAGCTCATTCTGGTGGATGGCAGCGGACCCTTGTTTTAGCGTAGCCTCATGCTTGTTCTGCGCACTCACCGCCAAAACGGGCACCTAGGCATTGCTTGGGGCATGGCAAACAAACACTCACATGAAGCTCGAGAGGGCGCGAAATCGCTGCGACGCCGCAACGCAGCGACGCCGCGGGGGCCAAGCTGACATGTGGGCGTCTTCGCCCATTCGCCCCCTGATTCTGCGACGCTGCGACGCTGTCTGGCTCGCATCTTCGCGAAGTCCCTTCTTTTGAACCCCCTTCTCGCTTCAAGTTCGTTCTTACGTTTCAGGATCACCGGGCCTATCTCCACAAACAGAGGCAGGGGCAGTTTTATACATGTCTGCGAATGTATGCTGATGCAGGGGACAGGTGTTGAAAAGGCATTTTCGTAAAGGGCGTGGCTTAACATTGAGAAATCTCAATACCTGAGAAGGGAGGGGACGAAAGCCAGCCTGCACTCACCTATGCACATCTACATTTTTGGCGCGCTTGCGTCCTTTGGGGTCAAGCAATTTTTGGAAACCATTGAAAGAATGTATGAATGCAAGGGTGTGGAAACCGCCCTGGGGAAGCATACTTTTTCAAGGAAATGCACGAAAGGGAGCATAGTCATCGTATCATGAAACCTAAAGCTGCCATGAAATCTGGAGACCGGGACATGCATGTTTAGAGGGAGGGTACCTCCCCTCGAATATACATGTTTGCGCAAAGGTTGTGTTTCAAGTTTCTTCTTTTTGTTTCAAAACTTTTTTTTTGCGTTCCAAATCGTTTCTTAGCGTTTCAATCCTCCTCTTTTCGTTTCAAACTCCTTTTCGTTTCGAGCGTGTTCTTTGCGTTTCGAGTGTATGTTTTTCGTTTAAGGTATCCTCCTTCCATTTCGGTTGCGCCCTTTTCATTCCAAATCTCTTCTTTCCTTTTCGTTTCCTCGACTCCCTTCTTTCGTTCCAAGTTTTTTTTTGCTTCAAATGTCTTCTTTTCGTTTCAAGCGTCTTCTCTTGGCTTCAAATGTTTTTCATTTCCAACCTTGTCTTTGCGCTTCAACTCCTTTCTTTGCATTTCAAATCTCTTAATTGTCGTTTCCGGTCAAGTGATTCTTTTCTTGTTAAAGCTCTTAATATGTCTTCTTGTCGGTTCAAAACTCTTCTTTTTGTTTCGATCTTCTTTTTGCTTCGACTGTCTTCTTTTTCTGTCAAGCCTTCTCTTTCACGATGCTGCGAAGCAGCAAGGATCGGCCGGCGTCTTCTCGTCTCCGTACTGACGCTGCGACGCTGCGAGGGCCGGCTCGCGTAATCGCGTCTTCGCCCTGACGGTGCGACGCCGCGACGTTGCGACGCTGCAAGGGTCCGGCTCGCACGTCTTCGATATGAAATTCTTGCATCCGCTCAGTGTGCAGTGAGTTGTTGCCACGGATGTAGTAAGACGAGACTCATGGACACCGCCAATCATCCTGCTCCCCAGCGACACGCCGAATTTACACCCGCATGTTTTCCTTCCCTCGGCACGGACTCACGCAAACGCACTTTCCACCATGTCCATGGCACAGCCACATCACGGACGGAAATTGGCCACACAGACTGCAACAGGCTATAGATACAATGCAATGTTAAGCATCGTGGGCGCCGCCAATCCGCCCCAGCGATGCACCGAATATACACCAGCATGCTTTCCTTCCCCCCAATGGCACGGACTCACGCAAACGCACTTTCCACCGTGGCCACACAAAACCCCATGGCACAGCCACATCACGGACGGAATTGGCCACACAGACTGCAACAGGCTATAGGTACAATTAAGCATCGTGGGCGCCACCAATCCGCTCCCCAGCGATGCACCGAATATACACCAGCATGTTTTCGTTCCCCCCAATGGCACGGACTCGCGCAAACGCACTTTCCACAGTGGCCACGCAAAACCGCACGGCACAGCGACATGACAGACGGAACTTGGCGTTAACAGACTAGATACAACAAAACAATGTAACATTAAGCATTGTGGGCGCCGCCAACCATCCCGCTTCCCAGCAACACGCCGAATATACTCCGTTCCTTCCCCCAATGGCACGGACTCACGCAAACGCACTTTTCACCGTGGCCGCGCTAAACCGCATGGCACAGCGACATCACAGACGGAATTTGGCCACATAGCGCAGCAGACTAGATACAACAATGTAACATTAAGCATCGTGTGCACCGGCAATCATCCCGCTCCCAGTGGCCCAGCGACACACCGAATATACACCAGCATGCTTTCTTTCCCCCAATGGCACAGACTCACGCAAACGCACTTTCCACCGTGAGCGCGCACAAACGCATGGCACAGCGACATCACGGAGGAAGGCGTTAACAGACTAGACACTGTGACAGACAGTATTTGGCCTGATAAACGGAATTTGGCCACAGAGTGTGCAGCAGACTAGATACAGCAATGTAACATTAAACATCGCGCGCGCCGCCAATCCTTCCACAACCCAGCGACACACCGAATTTACTTTCCTCTTTTTAGTGGCACGGACTCCCAAAACCGCATGGCACAGCGAAATCGCAAACGGAATTTGGCCGCGCTCAACACGCACGATCCTCGCAGAGGGTTCATTCGGCACAGCGGGACTTTGCACACACGTTTGAGCACTCGACACGCACGATCCCCGCAGAAGGCGCAGAGGGTCACGTTTCGCAAGCGCTGTGCGGCCAGGGCCCGGCTATCAAAGAAGAGATAAATAGCCGAGATACATCACGCAGGCGCGAATGAACATATGCTTTACTTCATTGTAGCATACGCTTACTTTTGTATATGCGCTTACTGAAGCAAGACCCCAGCGAAAGCTATACTTGACTTTGCATATGACTTTACTTAAGCAACACCCCACCGAAAATCATCCAAGCAAAATCCCACCACCAAAGCGACTCACCAAAACAAGACCCCACCACCAAGGCAACTCACCAAAGCAAGATCCCAGCACCAAGGCAACTCACCAAAGCAAGATCCCAGCACCAAGGCAATGCTAGCAAAAGTTATCCAAGCAAGTTCCCAGCACCAAAGCAATGCTAGCGTAGCAGCAGCTACACAACCATACCTGCAAGCTGCAGATGTACTGCTAGCATACCTATTGTAGCATACATACAACTGCAGCTGTATAGGTTGCAAATGTATTTGCAGCATTTGCCACTGTATTACCACCTCCTCTAGCAGCAGGTCCAGAAGAACACGCACGCAAGCTACAAATATACTTATGGCATACATACCAATGCTGTTATGGTAGAAAACCACGCACGCAAGCTGCTAATGTACCTTACAGCGTGCTTATAGCGTAACTTGCAGCTATGAACAAGCCAGCAAGATATTGATGCAAATGCGCTACGCAAAAGACTTCTACAGAAGAACCCTTCGCAACACTCCCGGGAACCGAACGGGTGCTCCAGGGAGATGTTTTTCATGCAAAAACATGTGTAAAAACACTGCCCCCAAAAAAAGGAACACACACATGAAAACCAAAAACCAATGTTTGAGACAAAATGAATGCAAAACCCAAAAAACAAATCCAATCCCACAGTACCCTAATTTCCTCTCAAACATTGGTTTATATTATATTGTCTTTATGTTTTTTGCTTTCTTGTATTTTCTCTAGGCCTTTGTAGAACACCAGGCACTTTTCGTAATTTGAACAGCTTTGTTTCGATAGATTTCTTTCTTTCCTAGCGCAGTTGCATAGTTTTCAGTGACGGCTTTTGCCGAGTGCCGGAGACTGTGCTTCGGAGTGCTTCGTCTTTCCTAACTTCTTCTATCTGCACAAATGCATTTAAAGTTGAACACCAAAAGAAACCGCTTCAACCTTCACAAGGACTATGTTGATTTTTCGTTTGTAAAACATTGCCTTGCTAAGAGCATGAAGATTCAAAAAAAGGACAGCATTGCTAAAGAAGCTAATGAGCTAGCCAAAGTCGCTACAGCATCAGTTAAATCCAAGCAGTCCTCTCAAAAGGTGCTCCTATTGCTCCAGTAGGTTGTATCTGTCGTCCTACACGTTCAGTCGTCCCTTAACATTGAGCACCGAAAAGGAAGCTGCTTCAATCGTCACAAGGCATGTTTCTTTGTCAAGTTGTCTTGTTTGGCTTGGGTCTTTCAAAGAAGGTAGGGAGCTGGACTAGGCACAAGAAGTTTGACCGATGTCTATGTAAAAGCAAAAACTGTTCTATTACAGTATATAAAATATGTACTGTATATGTCTCGTTGGTTGTCTTGTCATGGCGCTTGTTTCTCTTGGTTGGACAAGATGCCAGCCAAAGCCAAGCTCATGCAATTAAACCAGTGTTATTTGGATTGCTTCTGGCCTTTGAAAAGTAAGACATCGAAGAAAATACGGCATAGATGGACGAATAGAAAGAATTAATCATAACATAACATAAACAATTTTGGAACAATAGACAAGCCCTGTGGAATCAAGGCGAAGTTCCTAAGGGGAGAGTGTTGAAGCTAAAGTCTGAGATACAACGTCTGGTTTCTTCGTGTTTCTTGTCCCCTAGTTCTGACACATGCTGCCTACAGCTGCAAGGCAGACTGACAACACAGCTCCCTTCACACTACATGTGTACTGCAAAGTTTACATGCGTAGTGCAAAGTTGTGCCCCTTTGTGTTGCCAAGCTACAGTGTGACTGCCAAATGCTGCCCTTGGCCAGCCAAACGCCTCAGGACCAGGATCACCACATTCATCCAAATACCGCAAACGCTGATCAGCTTGCAGTTTCAGTATGGGAGGCGGACAAGTGGAATTCGAAGGCCCTTCTCAAGTGTAGTATCCTCTTGCACCAGCTCATTCTGCTTTGGCGTAGCCTCAAGTGCCGCGCACTCACCACCAGCCGGGTGCGTGCGCATTGCTCGAGTCTAGGGCATGGCAAGCAAACACTCGAACGAAGCTCCTCTAACAAAATGCACTGCTTAGTTTCGGCTGTGGTTGGTGCAATAAAGCCGCAGTTGCCCCATCGTTAGGGTCACTCTGGCTTCACTTGGATCTCACTCGGAACATGCTTCAACTGATTCAAAACGTCATCGCGCCGGAAGCGCATGCCTGCCAACTAGTGACTAGTGTGACGAAATGGAAATGGATCAAACATGTTTGTTCTTCCTAGTTCTGAGAGATTGCCAATGGACCCGCCCCTCGCTAAATGTGTCCTGCTAAGCTTTCCCACACTGCACATGGTGTGCGTTGTTTGTGTCTCTTGGCGTCGCCAAGCTACAGTGTGACTGCCAAACGCTGCCTTTGGCCGGCCAAACACCTCAGGACCAGGATCACCACATTCATCCAGATACCACATACATCCGCATACGCTGGTCAGCTTGCAGTTTCAGTATGGGAGGTGGACAAGTGGAAAAGCGGAATTGGAAAGCAGTGTAATGTGTCTGTGTCTTGCGCGCGCCTTGGCTCCGCTCACCTCCTCTTGCACCAGCTTTGGCGTAGCCTCATGTGCCGTGCACTCACCACCAGTCGGGTGTAGGCGCATTGCTCGAGTCTAGGGCATGGCAAGCAAAGCCCGCCCGCACGCACGCACGCACGCTCGTCACGCTCGCACGCACGCACGCACTCACTCACTCACTCACTCCACCACGGCCACCGTCACCACGATCCCCACCTTCATCACCACCATCACCTCTCTGGACCCCAACGCGTCTAGATCTCTAGACTTTCTGCGTATAGACCTCACACACTGTTTGGGGTCTCTTACCGGGATGATTTTTTCAGCAGGGTCACTGGGCACTCCTTGGCAAACTCAGTGCAACGAAGCTATGCCTTGGAGTTGGAAGCACGGATTGATCACCCGAGCGCGCGCGCGGTTCTAGCCCGAGAATTTCCTACTTGGCCCAGTTGTAACTAGAACAAGATGACCAGCCATTGCATCCGTTCCATCACTGCAGTCACGCACTTTGCTTATGAGATTTGAACCGAACTTATGACCTTTGGACTTGAACTTTGACTTTGGGCGCTTCAACTTTGGAGTTTGCGCCAGCCACTTTGGCAAGGCACGGGGTGACCAGAGCGGTCGAAGCTTTTTAAGGCCTCTATTGAGCCTCAGGTGCACACACAGCGCATACTGTTCAAACGAGGCGAGGTCCACCTAGGTTCTTCCAATCAAGTCTGGTTTCGTTGGTTTCCGGCCCCTCCATTTGGTTACCCTTTTCATTCTGTCCCCTTTACACACTGTCTTTTCCTCTTTCTTTTCACGTCTTTCTGTCTTCATGTCTTGGCACCTCATCCTTTCTTTCTTTTGCGTCTTTGTCCATGTTGCGCGCACATTTGCACACTTGTTTGTCACTTAGTAACCTGGCCTCCCTTATCGGGAGGCGTGTGTGAAACCCTTGGAGTCACCGGGGTTCCTTCGAATGTGCTTTTTCCTTTTTCAGCAGGGGCACTGAGCACTCCTTGGCAAACTCAGTGCAACGAAGCTATGTTTTTTTGGAGTGGGAAGCACGGATTGATCACCCGTGTGTACCTGCAGTTATACCCGAGAATTTCCTACTTGGCCCCGTTGCAACTAGAACAAGATGACCAGCCATTGCATCCGTTCCATCACTGCAGTCACGTTTCGACTTTGGAGTTTGGCATTCCGGAACTGGCTTGTGGCATTCAGTTCCGCACGCATTTCCTAAGTGTGTGTCTGGCACGCACCTTGGCTCCGCCCACCTCCTCTTGCTCCAGCTCATTCTGATGGATGGCAGCGGACACTTGCTTTGGCGTAGCCTCATGCGCCGTGCACTCACCACCAGCCGGGCGCATGCGCATTGCTCAACTCTAGGGCGGCAAACAAACACTTGAACGAAGCTCCTCTAACAAAATGCGCTGCTTAGCTTCGTCTGCGATTGCCTGATTCATTACAAAACGTCAAGGCGCCAGAAGTGCATGCCTGCTAGTGACTAGTGTGACGAAATGGAAATGGAACAAACATGGATCAATGGATCAAACATACAAAGTGTGGTTTCTTCACGTTTCTTCTTCCTAGGGACACGCTCATCCCTAGTTTTGAGAGGCAACTGCCTGTCACCCAGGATCTTGCAGCTCAAATTGCCAATGCGTCTCCCTCCACGCTAAATGCTGCACCTGGTGCGTTGTTTGTGCCTCTTTGCGTCGCCAAGCTGCAATGTGACTGCCAAACGCTGACTTTGGCCGGCCAAACGCCTCAGGACCAGGATCAGCACATTCATCCAGATACCACATACATCCGCATACGCTGGTCAGCTTGCAGTTTCAGTGTGAGAGGTAAACAAGTGGTGAATGGGAAGGCCTTCCAGTGTGGTGTGTGCGTGTGTGTCTGGCGCGCACCTTGACTCCGCTCACCTCCTCTTGCCCCAGCTCATTCTGCTTTGGCGTAGCCTCATGCTTGTGCTGAGTGTAGGGCATGGCCAACAAACACTCAAATGAAGTTCAATCACCCATGAAGCCGCAGTTGCCCCATCATTGGGTTCACTCTGGCTTCAGTGGTCTTGGATCTCACTCGGAATGACTAGTGTGATGAATTGGAAATGGATCAAAAATGGATCAAACATATACAAGTGTGGTTTCTTCATGTTTCTTCTTCCTGGGGACATGCTCATCCCTAGTTCTGAAAGGCAACTGCCTGTCACCCAGGATCTTGCAGCTCAGATTGCCAATGCGTCTCCCTCCCCGCTAAATGTGTCCTGCTAAGCTTTCCCACACTGCACATGGTGTGCTGCGCGCGCCTCTTTGCGTCACCAAGCTACAGTGTGACTGCCAAACGCTGACTTTGGCCGCCCGAACGCCTCAGGACCAGGATCAGCACATTCATCCAGATACCACATACATCCGCATACGCTGGTCAGCTTGCAGTTTCAGTATGAGAGGCAAACGAGTGGAGAATCTGAATGGGAAGGCCTTCCAGTGTAATATGCGCGTGTGTGTCTGGCGCGCACCTTGGCTCCGCTCACCTCCTCTTGCTCCGGCTCATTCTGACGGATGGCAGCGGACACTTGCTTTGGCGTAGCCTCATGTGACTCGCCGCGCACTCACCACCAGCCGGGTGCATGCGCATTGCTCGGGTCTATAGGGCATGGCAAACAAACACTAACGAAGCTCCTCTTATAAGATGCACTGCGCTTAGTTTCTGCGAGTCGGCGTAAGAGTCGGCCGACCTCAAGACACTCGCCCTTGGGCCAAAGGTGCGGTTGATGTATGTACAAATTGTGAAAAATCCTGTTACATCCTACTTGCTCATGTGAATTCGGAGCTGTTCACACGGCCCATGCCTCCGTGCCTTCAAATCGGGGACACTCAAATTTGGGAAGCGCAGATACTGAAGAAATATATGTACTGATGCCGTTTGACAGACACCTTACTGCGCGTGACATGAGCAAGACTCGGTCGACTGCTGCCACTTTTTGCAAACGAAATCACGGACTTTACATATGGCTTCATCTGTACATCATTCGCTGGCTTCAAGATGAGTTCGTTGAACTGATGTAATTAGTATCGGAAGTGTGACATACAAGAGGCCAGGAGAGACCATTCCGACGAGTTTGACTATGCCACCGAAATTCAGTGAAGACAACTTGGGTGAACGCAATTTGCTGGCGTCGTATTCAGCCAGCGTGCGTGTGAAGCATGGATTGAGATTGGTGTGCCCCCGGTGATTGTCGTTGCAGCATCCTACTCTTCTACCAATGCTGAGCAAGGGCCGAAGGCGCATCTAGTACATCACCTACAAAAACCTATTCAACTTCACAAGCGAAGAGGAGAAGGAAACGAGCGCCGACAAGCTTCTTTCCAGTGTGGGGAAGTACATCTCCAGATCGCAATGATGATGACAGTGATGAAGTCAAAGCCGCAAAGGAAGAGAAGGGTACTGTAGAAGGATTCTTCAGGACATGCGACTATCCCATCGTTTCTGCTCCGATGAATCAGGGAGAGGTTGGATGTCTTTGGAGAAAGGGTCGAAGGCCTCCTGGTTCCAATACCATTCCACACCGAGCTCAACGGAAAAGGGGCGCAAAAGGCAAAGCCGACAGCGCCCTAAGCACTTCCCAACCAGTCCCCTAGGTCAGTACTACGCGGGCTCTTCTCCGCTTAACTTCGGAGGTCGAAAGAGATTTGGTGCGTTCGGAGAGATATGGCCGTCGGCGACAAACGTACAGTCGGCGGGTATTTGAGACTGCTTGGCCGTGTGAAGAGCTCCGGCTACTGTCAGTATCACTGCTGAGCAGAGCCAGTGGATTCCCTTCGGGGATCATCCGATAAAATTGGAACGATACAGAGAAGATTAGCATGGCCCCTGCGCAAGGATGACACGCACAAATCGAGAAGTGTACCAAGTTTTTTGCCCAAGTGGTTCATTGCACGCGCACACACACAAACAGACCAGACTTGCACAGCTGATCGATGCCCTCAACAATGCTATCAGAACCCATGGAATGGAGAATGTAACTGCCTCATCACCCAGCAAGGGCTCATTGATCGCCATTACCAGACGCGCAGATTGCGATGACATCATGGGCAGATTATGTCAGAAGGCGCCAAACTATGAGAATCAGGACGGGTTGAGAATGACCGAGCCCGATTTCTTCAAAGGCTGTGAGCACACCCTGTATACTGTGGTTACGCCACCAGGTTGCGCAACAAGAGATATATACCCCGAGACCAGATCAACGTTGCCGACATCCTCAGGAACAGTGTCAACAATAGGACAGATCAGACGATCGAGAGAGCAGCGGCGCTGAATCATCTTCACAACTACAGTGACTACAGTACTCGACCATGTTCGGTACGCAGCACTGGTTGGGGAGAAACTGGAGAAGTTGGCTGAGACCACATTCGACAAGATTCTTTTCAAATGGTTTGAAGACGTGACGCCTGATATATGGAGAGCTGGTTATTGTGTATTGGCCGCAGGGCAAGGATCATTCTGGGGAACCACAGAGAGGAAGAAACATTTCAAAGCTGTCAGAAAATACCTGGCCAACATCCTCGCCTTCGACCAATCAATCAACGAACCAGAGGCATATACCTTCGAGGATCCTCCAGGTTTGAAAGACATCAACTGTCCTCCGCCAAAGTGGGTGACAGGATTCGAGAAATTGAGTGGAAGTCGTCTATATGGCGGCGCTGGTATGACAAGAGGATCAGTTGTTTTGCCGATGTGGGAGGTGGCACTACAAGGTGGTGTGCCTGCCCTGCAGCGCCCACCAGCAGCCGACGAGCTCAAGTCCAAAGTCAGCTCCTCCTACGAGAGACCATCTCATTCATCGGCGACCTATGGCGCAGTGGATATTGACGATCCATGGAATCGATATGTACAGAGGCCACGAACGCCGCGAGTGTTCCTTCAGATGCATGGGATGTATGGATGACCCCTGTGGCATCGCCACCTCCTCCGAAGCAACGACCTGGGCCACCGCCGCCAAAGGCCACGCCGAAGAAGGATGGGCCACCGAACACGCTGGAAGTCAGAAAAGTTCCACAAAGCTCAACGGTCCAAACGATGACGCGGAGGACAATTGTGGGGTGAAGTATCAAAAAAACACTATTTATCGCATCAATAAAAAATTATTCAAGGGGATCAATAAAAAAACTAATTACTTAATCAAAAAATAATAATTCTACCACGAACCCTCTTTGGGCTGGGCGTCGGCCTGTATACTAATCTCTTTCCTCCTGCCTGGCCTCCTGGCTAACAGGCAGTTTCCGCTCAGAGTCGAAATTCGTGGCAGGAATCTTGTGGCACAGGGGCGGGTTGGGGGGAGGGGGACGCGCCTCCCCCTATGAGCAGACACGGCTAACGCTTTCAGGTATGTACTACATTATTCTGAACTAACGTGAGTGATTAAATGTTTGATGGTTTTTTCTTTTCTGATTATTGGAGTAATTTCATTCTATTTCATACATTTTGTCAATTCTGTAATGCATTATATTAAATCACGTTTCCTGTCTCTTCCTGGCTTTCTGGCCTCTTTTTACAACAGCAGCAGCTTTAGTTTTTAAAAGTCAAGTTTCCGCTCAAATCTTCCTGTGTGTCATACTAAGTTGTTGGTTCCTGGCTGATTGGCTTTTTTGTCTAGAATAACAGCAGCTTTAATGTTCAACAGGCAAGGTTCCGCTTACAGTCAGATTTCGTCGCAAGACTTTTGAATAGCATTTGCAGATTTGGTGGGCAAGGTTTACCAAGGTTCCACTAAAAGCCTGATTTCATGGCAGGGACGTTGAATACTATCTGCAGATTTCGTTGC